ACAGTATTTTCTACATTAGACCTGGAAAAAGCTTATTATTAAATTAGGGTCAATCCGGATGACGTAGCGAAGACCGCAATCACCACGCCATTCGGCCTGTACGAGTTTCCCTTTATGAGTTTTGGCCTACGTAACGCGGCTCAGTCTTTCCAGAGGTTCGTTGACGAAATGCTCAGGGGGCTGGATTTTACTCATGCGTATTTGGACGATTTTTTGGTGGACTCGAAAGACCAAAAATCCCATAGGCGATATATGAGAGTATAAAATATTTCAGACACATGGTAGAAGCCCGTGATTTTGTGGTTTATACAGATCACAAACCCCTTACGTTTGCTTTCCATACGCGGAAAGACAACTGTTCTCCTAGACAATTTCGACATCTCGATCTTATCGCCCAATTTACTACAGACATTAGGCATATTTCAGGCAAAAACAATGTATTCGCCGATACGGTATCACGAGTTGACGCAATTACTCAACCCGTCAGTCCCGAGAACATAGCAACAGCTCAAAGCACAGACAGTGAACTTCAATAAACGGACGAACAAGAGCAACGTTGTTATTAGTAGCGAGTGCGAGGAGCCGAACGTATTATGCGGGCGCGCAGGATTGCGCGAACGCCGCGCCGCCGTGCGGCGTGCCTTGGAGTCAGTCGGTCCGTACCCTTGCGACGCGATACTGATACCCAACGCTCCCGATACGCTCGGCCCCCCGCACACGCGCTAAATGTTAAATGTTCTCCTTTTCCCGATCACTTGCTTGTACTCCTTCTGACTTCTCTCAATTTTCCGAAACTCTATGCTTGTGTAACGCCTAAATTGTAACTTCGCTTAACAAATTATACTGACGGTGTTCAACAGTGTACGAATTGTTTTTCTTGTGTGCGCCAACATTACCTACATACCTATTGACTTGCCACTGTGATTATATCAAGAATCAAACTAGACAACAACCTAAATTTTAAAGCACATATTAAAAGCCTAACTTCGCGGATCAGAAAGTTAATATTTGTATTTAAAAACCTACGCTACATATGTGACACAAAACAAATAAAATCTATTTATCTAGCACTATGTGAGTCCATTCTGACATATTGCATTACTTGTTGGGGAGGCTGTTCTAAAACCACAAACTAATACTAGAAAGGGCACAGCGGGCTGTCGTTAAAGTTATATATTTTAAGCACTTTCTATTTCCTACATCACAGCTATACGAATTGTCGGCGACTCTCACGATAAGGCAATTATCATCTTACATACGGCCCTAGAACAACATAAACACGCGTATTCTATATCATCTCTTGACAGTAAGCGGCGCAAAGACAGAGTATATATATAGACCCACGTTATGCAGAACAAAGATTCACCGTATTCCTCGGCCTGTTCTTATATAATAGCAGGGGCGTGTGCTTCTTGTAGGCAGAAATGCAGTGCTTTACTTGCTATTCACAGACATTTTAATAAAACGTTCGTACGCTTTAGATGACTTTAATTAATAGTAAATAAATGAATAAACAAAATATAACAATTTAAAAACGCCTACTTTTTAAAAATAGCACCTATTTGCAAGCACACAAACATTATGTTTGCCAGGCGTTTGCCGACAAGCAAGCGGCGCTGTACCTAACCAACCAACTCATGCCGTCGCGTCCCGCAGGACATTTGTTCGCATGTGTGTAGTAATTTTGGTGTCCGTGCACAATTCGCAAACGCACATACCCATTTATTTTATTTCCCCGCCTCCAGCCGCAGGCTACTGAAGTTAGTTCGGCAGTTGTCGGGAGTAATCGGAAATGTTCGTTGCCGCCGTGTTCGCGGGGGCCATTTTTTTTTCATGTGATAAGCATTGTTTACTAATTTGTTTCCGCCAGTATAATTATAGTTTTATTTTTCATTTTAACATTTGAAAGTGTGTACATTTAACAGTTTATTACTGAGTTCCGTTGATTTTTCAAAAATGTTATTTGATTGTGAGGTATGTGTGGAAAATGTGTGTATATTAAAAATTAAAAGTTCTCACAATTGTCATTCAGTGTAAAGATTAAAATTGTGTCTAAAGGTAGGTGTGTACCCGAGTTACAACTATTAAACCAGCAAAAAGGAAATGTAACTCGCTAGTTTCATGTTAAAAGTTGTGAAACGTATGGCTGTGTGGTTGTGTACACACGATTAAATTATACTGTTTTCCTACTCCGCCGCATACCTAGTGTCATAATCCTGTGCACGCCGCTGTATAATAGACTCACTAGGATAATTCAAATCTACCTAAATTAACCAAATCACACTGCAAAAAAGCCATGGCCAAAAGCCAGCTACCTAAAAACCCTAAACTATAAGGAAACTGAATCCTTTCTGAGTGCTTCTGGTTGAAGCCTAAGTAGCATGTACATAAATTAAATTATCTCCACATATTTCTACCCTTTGTAATTTAGGATATTATTAGCATGAATGAACAGTTACCTTCTAAGTCACAGTCTCAACTAGTTCAGAAGGTACGGATATACTGCTAAAAATAGCCTAAAATGTATGAAACGGAAGCAAATTTAGTGAATACACTTAGGTCTAGACATGCATGTAATCTAGTGTAGTACTCCCTATGTGTCGATTGTTTAGGCTTATAAGTACAATAAAAGAAATTTGAATTTTGGAGGCAATCAACAAAATCAATGCTGACCTATCGCGCATTGGCGAATGGAGTCATAATTACGGTGTTCAAGCCCATATTAACTATCAGTTAGTTAGTACACTCGCTAGATGGCGTTGTTAAATGTTTGTCAATTTCTGCATCGCGATATTAAGATCTGTAAGGATGTAGTATAAGTAGTATTACTAATTTAATCTCTCTCTGATTGTTTTAATCAATCTCCTGCTGTACATTTGATCCTGTCGAGTCGGACGGACACGGAGGCATGGAAAGCATGGTGGATTACCCTGACGTGCCACATAACCATCACCCTGCGTGGTGATTGGGGAACGAGCCGAAGAAGTTCAGTTCTGAAGTAGTGCAGTTCAGTTGTGATGTAGTGCAGTTCACTTGTGAAGTGGTGGCGCAGTGCAGTGCTGGAGTAGTGGTGCTGGCGCAGAAGTGCTAGTGCAGAGGGCTGGTGCGCATGTACTAGAGCCGCTGTCCCGGAGCTGGAGCGTGACCTAGAGTCGTGGTACTGAAGTCGTGGTTCTGTAGCCGTAGTCCTGGTACCGCTGTCTTGGTGCCGTGATCGTCGTGCACTGGTACTGGAGCAGAGGGATGATGCAGAGGCGGACGCCGACCGACAAGGGTGCTTGGGCGAGTGTGACAACATACATCGTAACTACGAAAGTTTCCTGAGGGGCCGACAGAGGGCGCTGCTGGTCCCTTCTTCAAAATTGTGAGCGCGGCATACGTATCTCAGTGCATTGGTGTATATCGGAGTGCAGTGTTTTGGAATTGGATTGCAGTGAAGTGCGTGCGAAGAAGAAACTGTAAGTAGAACTATAGTATTTATCTGTTTCCTGTTGATGACTGTTCCTTTTCTATGTTGACAATTTTACCTTGTTTTAACGACGTGGTGCTTACTTATAGTTTTAAAGATTAAGATACATTATTTTAATAGAGTCTGTTATATCAACGTCTAATCGTTCTATTTATTTAGCATCTGCGAGGTTCATTGCCTCTTGACAGCTTATCCGTTGCCTGTAGTTAATCTTTGACCTAATTTGCTGATAGATTTCTAAGATTCAAGTTTTGTTTATTTTGTTTGGCTTGTGTTATATTTATAATAAAAATGGAAACTCTCGCAAAAGTTCCAAACTAACAACAAGGTTATTATTGAAAAGGGTCACATTAATTTCAAAAAGTCGCCCAAAGAAAGAACAGAAGCAATCTATTTCACTTGTAAGTCTGAGTTGAAAGAACTTATTATTGTTACGAGCATGTCTAAATGTAGTAGTAGTAATAAGAGTGATAGCAACCAGTCAAATGTTAAATTATCAAAAATTGCTTAGCCCGTGTTTTCGGGACAATATTTAGAGTGGATCACATTCCGGGATCTATTCTTATCTTTAATTCATAATAACCAATCGTAGGATACAGTTCAGAAATTGTATTATTTAAAGGGTCATCTTTCGGGCGAAAATTCTCAAATAAATAATTTCAAATTATGAGGACTGTTGGTCCATCCTCACAAAGAGATACGATAACAAACGGTTTCTTACAATTTGTATGCTTAAAAGGTTTTAAATCAACCGAATGTCACTCGAGAATCCTCACATAATATTAAGATGCTATTAGATACTACCATAGCTTGCCTACATGGCTTGCGAACTTTAGATATTGATGTCAGTTCTTGGGACTCTATTGTTGTTATTTAATTAGTGGTAAATTAGATTTAAAAATTATGGGAAAACAACATAGGTACCAGCGATAAGTTGCCCACGTTTGAAGAATTTAAACAATTTATTAAGACTAGATTTCGCTCGTTGGAATTTCTAGATACAAAATTTGACAAATCAAGTAATAGTAACAACAGTAGTCGTAACAAGACTGTAAAAACTTTTTATGTCACACAACAATCTTGTGTATTATGTGCAGGTGACCACACGTTATGTAACTTTAAACAGTTCTCAAGGAAATCTTGTGACGAACGTCGTGCGTTTGTTCGAGCCAGCAAGTTAGGTTTTAATTGTTTAGCTAAAAATCATTCTTTTTATGAATGCCGTCAATTCACAAAAGTCAAGTATGTAAAAGGAAACACCACTCATTACTTCACCCCAAAAGGAATGCCACTTCTAATGATTCTATTGAAAACTCAACAGAAAATATTGTAGGGTAGAATGTCCTATTCTTGACACCCTTCCAAATTCTACCCATCCTATTCTTGACACCCTTCCAAATTATTGACACCTCATCTTTATTTTTCATACATAAGAAATCTTCTAAACGCAACATTGCCTCTTCATCAAATAATTACTGGTAGGATATTTTTATTTTTTGTCTGGCAACTCCAAGCTGTCACGTGAGCTAATATGGCGTCAAGACAGCTGATACAAATAGTGATCGTGCGACTTCGAAGGAAAAAAACTGTTTTCTTAAAGTTTCGACAAGGTAAGCGTCATATCAGTTACTTAAAATGACTTGTTCTTGTTACTTTATGATGTGATGAATGTCTCACAAACATTTTTAAGTTAAATTACACGCATTTTCCAAATTTTGACATGGGTGTCAAATAGATATTACCAATTATGAACATCAGTGTCGGTAATTGGAAAATTAATGTCAATAAATGAAATACGAATTATGTCGGCTATGCATAAACGTGGCTTATCATCAGATCATCACCTTATGTTGCCTCTTTATGGAATAGATAGGTACCTAATTAGTGTCATTTTTGTTGCAGTTGCCGGTTTTATGTATGAAACCCAAAAAAAATTCAAAAGAGAAAGAGAAGGTGAAATCTTAGCATATAGAAAAACTTAAATGAAAAAAATATCACGCAGATAATGTAGTCAGCGCCTTAGAAGCAGTACAAAAAGATATGAGTAAAAAGCTTGCCGCAAAGACGTATCAAGTACCACGAACAACATTGATTTACAGACTTCAGAATCCTGAACATAAGGCCCGTCCAGGTCCTGCTACTCTCCTCACCAAAGCGGAAGAAAATGACTTGGAGAGCTGGATTAATAATTGTGCCATTAAAGGATTCCCAAAACGGAAAGATGACGCCATTAACAGTGTGAGTTATTATTTAAAAAGAAGAAAAGACCTGGTAAATTCAGCCATGGTGAAAAATGGTTTAAACTGTTTTTAAAACGTCACCCCCAAATATACGTTTTCGAACCCCTGAAGCAGTCACAGCCGCTAGTGCAATTGTTTCAGAAAAAGATGTCAGAGGCTGGTTTAAACAAATAGAAGACCATCTCCGAGAAAACAATTTATTTCACATTCTGTCAGATCCATCTCGTGTTTTTAATGGGGACGAAACCAAATTTCTTCAATGCCCCAAGACTGGTGTAGTTTTAGCACCAAAAGGCCATAAGAACGTTTATGAAGTTGACAATGCTCCAGCTAAGACTTCATTGACTGTAATGTTCACTTTTTGTGCTCATGGACGTCTCATCCCACCAATGGTTATATTCCCGAATAAAAGGCTTCTTCCGATATATCTTCGAAGGTCCCTCCAGATTGGGGAATAGGCCTGAGTGATAATGGATGAATGAAATCTTAAAATTTTTGACGATTACATCGAAAGTGTCTTCTACCCGTATTTGGTGAAATCGGGAACACAGGTTCCGGTAATTCTGTTTGTCGATGGACATAAAACGCATTTAACTTATGCAGTCAGTAACTTATGCACAAAATTGAACATTGTACTTTTTGCACTCTATCCCAACTGCACAAGGCTATTACAGCCAGTGGATGTTTCAGCTTTTAAACCACTTAAATATGGCTGGCAAATAATCCCTTCAGAAGTTTTAACAAAAAGCAATTTTGTGCCGCTTTTACAGAGTACAATAGAAAAGTGGGTAAAACCTTCAACCATCGTTAATGGCTTTAGAGCCACTGGTTTGTGTCCATAGAATGTTAATGAAATTGATTTCAGGAAGTGTCTTGGAAAGAGTACTGATCATGAAAAATCAAGTGCACAATGCAAAACAAGGGAAAAGCTATTAACAAAGGAAGAATTTATAAGACTGATAGGCGAACATAAAGTAGCAGCTGGAGAGGAATACACTAACATCAGAGGATAAATACTTACGAAGGATTTGGAATTTTTTCAAAGGAGATGAAATAATTATAACTGAACTGAATGATAACAATAAACCCTATATCTATTGAGAACTTGAGAGTTATAATCAATGACGATATTCAATTAGATGAAACAGTATCTGAATTTATTCCATTCTCACGACATGAAGAGAGAGATTCAAACGTTTTAAACAATGGCAACATAGATACAGATACTCAGAACGATGAATGGTGTACGCAAGATATACAAGTAATCACTATAACTCACAGTGCAGAAATACACCCTCTAAGAAATAATGTTAGCCGTAATGAAATAATTCCATTGTCACGACATTCAAACGTTTTTAACAACGACAACATAAAGACAGACACTCAGAACGATGAATGGTGTACCCAAGATATAGAAGCAATAACTGTAACTCACAGTGCAGAAGTACACCCTCAAGAGATTAATGTTAGCCGTGATGAATCACTATGCAAAAACATACCTTTCAAACTATCTGATTGTACGCCAGTACAATTGCAGGATATCCTTATACTACCAAAAACACCACAAAGAAAAGGAACTAAAGATATTAAACAGGCTCCTTTTGTGTTAACAGCAGCTGAGTGGAAGGCACAGGAAAACGAGAAAATTAAAATAAAGGAAGAAAAGGCAGAAGGCATTAAAAAAGAAAAGAAGAGAGAGAAAAGAAGAAAGAACAAGAAAAAAATAAAAAAGAACAAATGCAAAATAAACCAAAACCTAAAATAAAAATTACTCATGAAAAACGTGATGAAGTAAGAAATTTATTGTTTAGTGAAGAGTTTTACCGTATAGAACCAGTAAAGAAATCTCCGCAAAAGAAGAAAGAAAAAGAAAACAGTCAAACTAGTTTTATAGAAGAGAGTGAATCTAGTTTGATAGGGAAGACTGAAGTTACTAGTAAGAATAACAAAGTATTGTGAACTGCAAAAGAAATTGAAAGATTTCTAACAGACTTTGAAGACTGAAATGATATCTAGGTATACCTACTTATTTGAATATTAACTATTGTAATATAAAAAAATTAAAAAAAAATGTGTTTTTAATGTCATGTGAAATGTTAATGCAATCTATGTTCCAAATAAATGAATAACTAACTGGTGCGGCACCACAAATTCCAACAAAACTAATAATCTCGGGCGCCAGGTGCCTTAACCTTAAATGAACACAGACAACTAACAACAAATACAATGAATGCCTCGAACAGCTCGGTCAGCGCTAGACCTTTAATCTAGGATGGGGGGCAGCTATTAAATAAAGAGATGTTATAAGCTCAAGTGGCAGTTTATTATTCCGTAGTGTCTGTAGAGTACATGGTATATTATAGGTCTAATTACAAATGTAATTCTTATACTCAAATTAGTACTGTCATTAATGCAATCTGTTTACCTTGTTAAAACAAATTAAAAGTAAATATTTTTTAAAGAGTCACATAAAGACTGATAAATAGGTAAAGATTTAAGGGTAGTTGTCACAGCGACCTACTCCCATAATAAAAATAACACCCCTTAGGGACTGCAGTATCCGTTATGACAACGCCGACAAAATTAATACAACAAAAAAAACGTACCCGATGACTTTGGCTCTGTCCGTATGAAACTAGGGTAAAATTAATTCTTATAAACCTCACTCGTGCTCCCACGTGGTTGTAGTGGCGGGGTAAGTATTCCAGGGTAAGTTCCTGATAATGGGCTACAGCTAAAGAACTTTTCCTGCCATTATAGGTACACACCCTCCGCAGCAAACTAAATCCTTGGATCGGGCAGGTAGTGAGGTAAAAAACAATTGTAACGTAAGGACATTACAATCTAATAAGAGAATTAAAATTGAGGTAAAGTAAAGAACCCTGTTGATACTGCAACAACGAAAATTATAGGTTACTTGCCTATCTCCAATGATGAAGTCAAAGTCTGGTAAGATACAATAATTTACTCACCAGGGTTCCAAAACGTTTCACAAATAAATCAGAGGCGTTACGAATAATTCCTGTAAGCAAACAAACAAAGATTTAAAACAACTAGTCTCTTAAGCCAAGTATGAAACATGCCCCTGAACAAAACTTACCAAAACAGTTAAAATAACAATTCCAACTAACAACTCGTGTCCTTAACGAGACTGGCCAACAATAAAAGGTGAATTATTCCTCTGATTACAACAAATGAAAATGGATTACAAATGTAAAAAATTATAATCGGAGCGATTATAATTCTAATCCACCCATCTAATCTCACACGGGCTGACAACCAAAGTGCACAACCCATGTTGCCAGAGCTAAAGTTCCGTTTCTACCTAGAACGCGACAAAAAATGTTGCCAGAACGAGAAAAAACTAAAATCGATACAATACCATAGTCGATTAGAGCGGACCATCAATTCTCCTCCGTGACGCCGTCTCTCGGAGCTTACTGAAACGTCATAAAATTCAACTGTCAAACCAAAAACACGTCGATAATTAAATTTTCTGTAATGGTGCGAAATGCACCGTTACACTATCTCTAATGGATGGGCTGTGGTTGGTTTCAAACTGAATGTTATGTTGAGTGAAATCCAAAAATTTAATTTAAGTTAACTTTGTTATTTAAGAAAATCAGATTTTTAATGGTGAGGAGTACCTATTATAAATAGAAGTGAACAAACTGTATTTGTATTAATTAAGGCTGAAAATGTGACTGATTTATAACCACTGAGTGTTTTAGAACAATTTGTTTTACTTTAGAAATAATTGAATTGTATCATTTTTACTTAATTACCTAGGTATGTACTTAATTATTATTAAATATAACATAGTGTCAATAATTGGAATTACTCCTGTCGATAATTCGGCAGAGTGTGTTAATATCTGGGTTAGTCGTATTGATTCACGAAAACATAGAAATGTAATACGAAATATAATTTTCTTACAGTTTTCATTTACTGGCAAGATTCTACAATAGCTACGCCTACCTATACAAACTCTTTTTTATCTGGAAACACCATGAGGTGTTTGATAGTACTTCATTTTTTCATGGCAACCCTTAAAGTGTCAATAATTGGGCGCTTTACCCTAGTTGTTGCCACCGCAGCCGTTTCATCTATTCAAAGGGAGAGTACCTATCCCATTTGTTATAACCATGGGCTACTAGCTACAGCTCTAGTCCATGTTGAGTTGAGAACTGGAACTACTGAGGTTTTAAGAGCTCTATTAAATCAGGGCTCTCACGTCTCATTTATCACTGAGGCCGCAGTTCAGTTCTTAGCACTACGCAAAAGACCCACCCACACAGGCATATACAGATTAGGCGATGACGAGGGTAGTGCTGTGCCCTCTAGGTCACTCGTGGTCGTGGAGATCATTGCTCAAGACCCAGTATAGCGATGTCATTTTTTTTTTGAGTTGTCTTTTGTCCTGCAATCTGTCTCTACGACATTGAGCTGGATTTTAATAAGTGAAACAATGGGCGCGTATGGCACAGTATCCAATGATATGTTCAAATTGGCGGTAGTTCCTCATGCAGACAGGTCTTGAGGAGCACGTCTTTTCAGCCTCTTGAAGGTAGAGTTTGGCTCAATGGACATAAGCTCTCTGGCCAGAAGGTTTGGATGGCGATTTAATGTTTCTGAGTATTTAGGTAGGGAGTTTCTTATTTCGTCCTTGACAAATTCAATTTTCAGGTCTTTGTGGAGACACGTGTGCTCCAGTAATCATTCGCAGAGTTTTTGACTGAAACCGCTGCAGGATCTCTATATTCGATGAGGACACTGTTCCCCACAGCTGAGGACCTACGTCCAAATAGGCTTTAAGATACTCTTGTAGAGAAGAAGTTCGTTTGCTAGGTTTAGTTGTGACTTTCGACCCATTAGCCATTGCAGCTTGCAGAGTTGCAGATCAAGTGCTTTTCTTTTTGTTTGAATATGTTTTCTCCACGTCAGTCTGCGGTCCAGATACGCCTAAGTATCGTCACGTACGTCACGTACGTAACGTCATCAGCCTGTGGTATTTTGATGTGGTTGAGCTCTACTTCGGGACATGTTTCATGCCGCAGGCTAAATGTTACGTGCACTGATTTAGCTTCATTAGCTTTAATTCGCCAGTCTTTTAGCCAGGAGGATAGCTCACATAGATTTCTTTGTAGCTTGGCAGATGCTCCAGCAGCTGTGTTATCGACTGCTAACACCGCAGTATCATCGGCATAAGTCCCTGTCAGAACGTGTTCGGTGTTCGGTAGATCAAATGTGTAAATCAAGTAGAGCAATGTGTAAATCAAGTAAATCAAGTCCCTCAGGGAAGTGTGTTGGGTCCAATGACCCAACACACTTCCCTGAGGGACCCCGGCCTTTATTTTATGTAGATTTGTGACGCTGTCACCATATCTGACGTAAAAATGTCTATCATGAAGGTAAGACTTTATAAAAAGATAGTAATTAAGAGGTAGGTTCTTCAGAATTTTATATAGAAGTCCTTCGTGCCAGACATGATCAAAGGCCTGTGAGATATCCAAAAAGGCAGCAGAGCACCACAACTTATTTTCAAAGGTGTGGTTAATTCTTTCTACGATTCTGTGCACCTGTTCTATCGTGCTGTGGGAAGATCTGATGCCAAATTGATGTTCAGGGATTAAATTAGTTTTCGCAATAACCGGAGCCAGACGGTTCAGGAACAGGATTTCTAATAGTTTGAACGTTGTCAGGAGGAGACTGATTGGACGGTAAGACTTAACATCAGTAGCGTCTTTACCAGGTTTAGGAATTAGAATAATTTCCGCCACCTTCCATTGTGGTGGAATCAAATTTCTCCAAAGGCAAAGGATCATTTTCGCCGTGATCAGGTCATATCCAGGGGCTTTGTGAACATCGAGTTTCGCACAAATTGACTTGTGCTATTACTGGCGAATGAGCAGAAGTAAGCTCAAAGCAAGAGCTGCACTTGATTGAAGAGGAGGGCAGCCCTTTACTAATGAAGTAGTCCACAAGGTCAGGTTTCTTGTTTTCGTGAGTTGGC